GAGGTCCTGTGGAAAAATATATGGTTGCTAATTATATGAGCACATACTATCAAAATGCATAAACACAAAGAGGCAGAATTAAAGTTGTACTGGCAACCGTTATTCTGGCATTTTCTAACTTTTGAGTGTGCGACTTCACAACCTAAATAACCCTCTTCTAAGGCAGTGTTTGTATGTCATCATATGTTTAATGCTTTACGACAGTAAGCCCTTTGTGACATACCATGCCTTCATGTCTGAATAGCAACCAGGCCGTGGGAGCACCAGTCCCGAGAAGCATCTAAAGGCCCCACTGTAATACAAATATTAAAGAATAACCCTCAGTAAAAGGTGATCATGCTTATTGTAGCATATAGTAAAAATTACAAGCTACTCCTTGCTCCTATTTATCTTTGCTGTAAGAAGTCTTAGTGTAAACGGTGTGAATTTAGCCAGCTGACATCAAATAGAATAACTTGTATAAACAGTGGACTTTTCCCCCATTCTGCACATAATGGAGACTCACTGCACATTTTTTTCCTAAGAGGAAAAAAAAAAGGTACATTTTCTATGGATTTCTCTCCCCTGCAGATTTCAAGTGCTTTTATTTATAAATCACAGGTGTCAGAAATCCAAGACTCTTTCCATGTTTATTTCAAATCCCATAACAAGGAAGTTTAACTCTTCCTTTTTTTATGGATAACGAGGTCTTAACAAGAAACTCTGCTTCAAGTACTGACTGTTTACATGCTTTTCTTCTTTGTAATGTTAAGTAGTGTAGTGCAGGGTAGACAGAACCGCTGGGAATACAGTGTCTCATTGGTTCGTATGTCTACTTTGATCAAATGACAAACACTATTTCCTACTATCTAATTAAGCTATTTTTGAATACTGGAAAATTACAATAATGCTGAAAATGTAATAAAGTTTCTGTTCTTTAAATAAACTGTGACCGAGGCTATGCCTACTCTTAATCCGCACCACTGTAGTGCTTCATTGTACACATTCACTACAGCAATGGGAGGTGTTCTCCCATTGCTGAAGTTAAGCAACCTCCCCAAGAGGTGGTACCTAGGTTAATGGAAGAATTTTTCTGTCAGCCTAGTACGGTCTACATCGGAGATTAGGTTGGTATAGATACATCTCTCATGGATGTGGACTTTTCACACCCCCTGAGAGATGTAGCTTTGCCAGTGTAAGTTTTCAGTGTACACCAAACCTGATTTAAGCCCCTATTCCTGCACCCATGTAGGGAATCACTGACTTTAACAGAGCTTCACATAGGGGATGGCCCAAATGCTTCTCTTTGCAAGACTGAAGCCTTAGAGAACTAAAACCAAAACAGCGCATACTTGACTTATGCCAGGTAGTGAATGCCTTATTTTTTTTTAAAAAAATGTTTCTTACAAACATTATCTTTGAGTTTTGTTTCATAAATATTAACCAACAGCAATTAAACTGAACATTTTAGTTATACTTGATCACAATCCATCCTATTAATAATGCTGAGAATTACTATTTCAGGTTAATGAAGGAAGTGTAAATCCACATAAAATAAAGTCAGGTTTTTCATGGTTAACTGAACAAGTGAACCATCACTATCCATATAAAGAACCCAAACAAGAGTTACTTGTTAGCTACAGAAGAGAAAAATTTGGTGCAGAGAATCATTATCTACATAGTCAAATCTCCTGCCTTCTGGAAAGAACTGTTTCCAGTAGAAATATCAAAAATGGCATTTTCACATTTTCTTTGAGACTACCTATAAAAACAGATCTCAAAAATTATTTGCATTAAAGGTGTATCATTTTGGTATATCAATATTTCTTGCCTCGCTGCAAAATTTGGTCCTTTGCTAACTGACAAGGAGATATCCCAGCAAGGGATGCCACAAACACACAGGCACTTGCATAATGTTACTCATGCAAGAAGTTATTTGCTGCATAAGTGTTTCCACAGCTGTAGTGTGTCTATCTATTTCTTTGCCACTGTAGCAGTTTAAGTGTTGACATACCCTCAGTCACAGTTTCTTTAAAGAACAAAAACCTTCATTACCTTTTCAGTATTACTGTAATTTTCCAGGGGGAGCAACTTTCAAGGTCTCTAGAAAAATATTACTCCTAACTTATTTTGAGCATATTAATTTACAAACAAATTGGTTTCACCAGTCAAAGTTGGTGGCATTAGAAAGTGAGGTTTATAATGGAAATTTAGATTACCTTTAGCTCAGAGGGTAGTAGCAACTAATGCTTCCATAAAAGACACTTGTTTTTAAACAAAAACAAAAAACAGGTTGTCACAGGAGACTATTACAATTCTTTGTCAACCAGCACGTGGACAAGGGTGATTCAAATGATATAGTGTTCTTGGACTTTCAGAAAGCCGTTGGTAAGGTCCCACCCCAAAGCTCTTAAGCAAAGTACGCTGTCATGGGATAAGAGGGAAGGTCCTCTCATGGATCAGTAACTGATTAAAAGATAGGAAACAAAAGTAGGAATAAATAGTCAGTTTTCATAGTGGAGAGAATTAAATAGTGGGGGTCCCCCAAGGATCTGTATTGGGACCAGTGCTGGTAAACATATTCATAAATGATCTGGAAAAGGGTAAACAGTGAGGTGGCGAAGTCTGCAGACAATACAAAATTACTCAATATATTTTATTTTATCCAAAGCTGACTGCAAAGAGTTACAAAGGGATCTCACTAAACTGGGTGACTGGGCAACAAAGTAATGCACATTGGAAAATATAATCCCAACTATACATACAAAATGATGGGGTCTAAAATAGCTGTTACCACTCAAGAAAGTTCTTGGAGTCACTGTGGATAGATCTCTAAAAAACACCTGCTCATGTTGTAGCAGCAGTCAAAAAAGCAAACAGAATGTTAGGAAACTCATAGATAAAACAGAAAATATCATAATGCTACTATATACATGTATGGCATGCCCTCACCTGGAATACTGCATGCAGTTCCGGTTGCCTCACCTCAAAAAAGGTATCTTGTCATTGGAAAAAGTACAGTATAAAGAAGGACAACAAAAATGATTTAAAAGACTGGGACTGTTCAGCTTAGAAAAGAGACAACTGAAGGTGTTGATACTATAAATGTCTACAAAATCATGACTGGTGTGGAGAAAGTGAATAAGGAAGTGTTATTTACCCCTTCACATAACACATGAACCAGGGGTCACCCAATGAAATTAATAGTCAGCAGGTTTAAAACAAACAAAAGGAAGTACTTCTTCACATAACAGTCAACCTCTCCAACCAAAAGGCTAAAAGTATAACTGGACTCTAGAGAGAATTAGATAAATTAATGGGTGATGAATAGCAGCCATTGATGGACCTAAGATGGTCAGGGATGCAACCCCTAAACCTCTGATTGCCAGAATCTGGAACTGAAGGACAGGTGATGGATCACTCAATAATTACACTGTTCCAGTCATTCATTCTAAAGCATATGGCACTGTCCACCATCGGAAGACTGGCTACTGGGCTAGATGGACCGTTGCTGCAGCTATTCTAACGTTCTTAAGGTTGTTTAGATTTCTAATCTTGTCCTCCAAAGTGTCCTCCAAACTCTCAGCTTGGTGTTGTAAGCAAATTTTATAAGTATGCTCTCCACTCCATTATCCAAGTCATTAAATGAAAATATTGATTAGTATTGGACCAAGAAGAAACCTCTAAAGGATGCCACTAAATACATCCTTCCAGTTTGACAGACAACGATGGATAACGACTCTTTTCAGCCACTAGTGAGTGCACCACTATATAGTAATTTCATCTAGAACACATTCCCTGGTTTGCTTATGAGAATGTCATGTTAAATAGTGTCAAAAGCCTTACTAAAAATCAAAATCTATGATGTCTATAGCCGGCCCCCTATCCTCCACTAGGCCATAACCCTGTCAAAGAATTAGGTTGGTTTGGGATGATTTGTTCTTGACATATCCATGCTGGCTATTTCTTATCATTCTAGGACAACACATGTAAGGTAGTGTGTAGGACTACCTTACACAAGTTTGCTTACATATTTTGACGTGATAACTAATTTCCCAACTCCACCCCTAGTCCCTGCAATTCAGATGTGAAATATACCTCTTTTCATTCAACCTACTGAGACAAAAGCCTTTATAGCACTTTGGGGCAGAATGTATAAAAACTGGACGTTTCATATTAACGTGCCTACTGTTTGCAGTACAACTATATTTATATAAAACATGGGTTCTCAATCTGGGGATCAGAACAAGGTGTCCTGCCCTTCTTATACTGTATTACCAAGGTCTTCTCTACACCAGAAGGTTGTGCTGCTTTAACTGCACTGAAGTAGTTCAAGCAACATAAACCTGTAGCGTGGACGCAATTATACCGCTATAAAGATACCTCATACTAGTATAGCTAATCCCACATAGGAAAGGGAATAAACGATACTTGTACAAGACACCTTTGTAACTGCATCTACACTATGGGTTGTGCCTAGGATAACCCAGGCCTGCTTGGTATGGCACTCTATCCCCCTCTTGTGACTAGAGATTGATGAGCCTGTTACAGTGGCCAAGAGAGATGTGTCTTTTAGCTCATGCAGTTGAGGCTCATGCATTAAGCTCCAGAGGTCCATCCCAGGATTTATGCAGATGACAACCGGGATCAACATTACACTAAGACAACCATTACTGTAAAACATAAAATCACATCCCTAACTGAAAGAGTTATACTGGGACAAAACTTGGGTGCAGCTCAGACCTTAGCCTAAGAGGATCCTGGCAAGGAAAAGGCTGAGAATAACTTGACAAGGTATTGCAGGGGCCACCCAGTTTAACCAAACAGAAAGTTGCCAATACAGGATACTGAGCTACCGGTTCAAGTGATTTATGATTAGGGATAGGTATGTTGGATAAGGTGGAAGTGCCAGGGAAGAGATTCCCCTAAAGGGAGGGGAGGGGGCTTGAGAGACACGCGGCTCACCCTGTTAAGGGAAGGGGGCGCTGACCAGGGGCTCGGGGGGCGGGCGTGGGACCCACCTGCACGCTGGGGAAGGTGTTCTTGAGCAAGTAGAACATCTTGCGGTTGGACAGCACGTCCCCGCTGGTCATCTTCTCTTCGGCCCCCTCGCGGGTCTTGCCCTTCGCCTTCTCGTTGAGGACGTTGCTTTCCCGGACGCGCTTCACCTCCTCACCCCCCTTGACGGCGGCCAGCACGGACACGGCCAGCAGCTCCCGCAGGTCCACGGTGCCCTCGGGCAAGGGGCCCGGAGGAACGTCGGGTCCGCCCCCGGCCCGCTCCGCCTGGTCGCCCAGCATGAAGAGGGCGAGGCGGCCGGCCAGGAAGCCGGAGTAGAGGTGGTAGAGGACGCCGAGGCCCAGCAGACAGAACACGGCCACTCCCAGCGGGGAGAGGCGGATCCCCATGGGGGCCATGGCCGGGAGCGGCGGGGCGGGCGGGCGCGCAGCGGGCTCTCGGGGGCCGAAGGCGGGCGCTCACCAGCGTTCCATAGCGGCCCGCCCACCCCGCACCCAGCCCGGCAGCGGCCCGCGGGCAGCGCCCGCCCGCATGGAACCACAGGGAGCCCGGCGGCGGCAGCCTCTCTCGCTGCTCAGCTGGCTCCCGGCTCCACGTTCCCCGGCGAGCAGAGGTGAAAGGCAGCGGAGCGTGCGTATCCGGGTTAGGCGAGGGCGGGGCGCCGTGGCAGGCTGCCGGGGCCCCCACTGAGCATGCCCGGAGCAGGCTGCGGGGCGGCGGCGTACTGGTCCCTGAGCCTCAGGGGGAGTTGGGGGGAACTGGGGCTGCGGGCTGTGAGAAGGGAGGGCCTAAAAATAGGGGTGAGGGGCTTAGAGCCACAGTGAAGTCCAGCGTGCAGGGAGTTCAGTGCTTCAAATCCTGAGTCAGGCTCACACAGAGAATCATGTCTGGTTAGGTTTCTAGAAATATGAATAGAAAGAAAAGGAGGACTTGTGGCACCTTAGAGACTAACACATTTATTTGAGCATAAACTTTCGTGAGCTACAGCTCACTTCATCACGAAAGCTTATGCTCAAATAAATTGGTTAGTCTCTAAGGTGCCACAAGTACTCCTTTTCTTTTTGCGAATACAGACTAACACGACTGCTACTCTGAAAGAAATATAAATGTTGGGGTTCTTTTATTTGCCTTTGAACCTTTAGGGTACAACCAGGCCATGTTTTCAGACTTCTGTTATTATGATTCTTATTAAACGGAAGCAGAGCTTAGGTAATTACATAGCAGGGGTTTTAATAAGAGCATCAGATATCACCAGCAATTGTTGAGAGTTGGCAACAGTGCCTGTAAACAGCCGCCCTCGGGTGATTCACTCTTTGCCCACCCCCTCATCTGCCCTCCTGAAACACTTCAGACCTGTGTTGAAAAGAATTTTTGGTCAGTGGCACCAGTGTCAAGGAAGCTGTCAAGTTTCCTTCTCCACTCTGAACTCTACGGTACAGATGTGGGGACCTGCATGAAAACCTCCTAAGCTTACTTTTACCAGCTTAGGTTAAAACTTCCCTAAGGTACAAACTATTTTACCCTTGGACTTCCACTGCCACCACCAAACTTTATCTGGGTTCCTGAAAAAACATAGTTTGGAAATGTCTTTCCCCCCAAAATCCTCCCAACCCTTGCACCCCACTTCCTGGGGAAGGTTTGGTAAAAATCCTCACCAATTTGCATAGGTGACCACAGACCCAAACCCTTGGATCTGAGAACAATGAAAAAGTATTTAGTTTCCTTACAAGAAGACTTTTAACAGAAGTAAAAAAGAATCATCTCTGTAAAATCAGGATGGTAAATACCTTACAGGGTAATTAGATTCAAAACATAGAGAATCCCTCTAGGCAAAACCTTAAGTTACAAAAAAGACAGACAGGAATATTCATTCTATTCAGCACAGCTATTTTCTCAGCCATTTAAAGAAATCATACTCTAACACATACCTAGCTAGATTACTTACTGAATTCTAAGACTCCATTCCTGTTCTGTCCCCAGCAAAAGCATCACCAGACGGACACAGACCCTTTGTTTTTCTCCCTCCTCCCAGCTTTTGAAAGTATCTTGTCTCCTCATTGGTCATTTTGGTCAGGTGCCCGCGAGGTTACCTTTAGCTTCTTAACCCTTTAGAGGTGAGAGGATTTTTCCTCTGGCCAGGAGGGATTTTAAAGGGGTTTACCCTTCCCTTTATATCTATGACAGAAGCCAACCATCACATCCGAACAACAGTTCCCTTTGAATGCTGAGTGGAGATGTGAAAGTGGAGCAGAGTGGTTGGCATGGTCACTTTTGCACTCTATGTGTGTACATGCCTGTGAGTAGTGGATGTAAATACATGTGGCTATGGCCTTCAGTAAGAGATAGTCAGTTTGCTAACACTAGCCAAAACTTTTAGGCCCCACTCCTTTAAAATGATGCATGTGGACCCATTGAACTGATCACGCTGTAAATGTTTGGCTAATTTAAACTGACTATTCCTTATTGATGATTCATATATATATATGAATCATCAATAAGGAATGATTCATATATATATATATATATATATGAATTTGTGATGAAGACATACAGTTTTTTTTTAAATTGAAGCAGATATGTAAGAAAAAAGCTAAAAATTAAGGATTCTTCATATATATACTCTTCACAAATTCATGAAGAGTTTTGTTTATTTTTTAAGTTTCAGCAAAAACAGTTATGCTTTTTCCAAACCTGAAGTTTGGTAAAACTAGGTATTTTTTCAAAACTAGGTACTCAGTGCAGTTAAAACTAGCTGTATATATATCTGCACTGAGCATGCTCCCTGGTCTCCACTAACCTTCATCGACACTGAGGCCTAGTCTACACATCAGGATAAAAAATACACACGCCTTAAAGACATAGCTATACTGACCTCACCCCTGGTGTAGACAGCACTAGGTTGATGGAAGAATTCTTCCATCAATCTAGCTACCACCTCTTAGGGAGAAGTATTACCTATGCTCAGAGGCGGCTCTACCAATTTTGCCGCCCCAAGCAGTCGCCGCTGAATTGCCGCCGCTGCTAGAGAGGCGGAGCTACTGCCGAATTGCTGCCGTGGGACACGGATTGCTGCCCCATTCTCAATGCCGCCCCAAGCACCTGCTTGGAAAGCTGGTGTCTGGAGCTGGCCCTGCCTATGCTGAAGGGAGAACCCCTCCTGTCAGTGTATGTAGTATCTACACTGAACCATTATAGTAGTGCAGCGATTTAAGTGTAGATATAGCCTAGTGAATCTCTACACTACGAAATTAGGTCGATTTTATAGAAGTCGATTTTAGAAATCGATTTTATACAGTTGATTGCATATGTCCACACTGAGTGCATTAAGTCGGCAGAGTGTGTCCTCACTACCGTGGCTAGCATTGACTTACGGAGCGGTGCACTGTGGGTAGCTATCCCACAGTTCCCGCAGTCTCCGCTGCCCATTGGACTTCTGGGTTAAGCTCCAAATACCTGACAGGGTTAAAACATTGTCGCGGGTGATTTTGGGTACATGTCGTCAGTCACCCCTCCCTCCGTGAAAGCAACAGCAGACAATCATTTCACGCCTTTTTTCCTTGCAGACTCCATACCACAGCAAGCATGGAGCCTGCTCAGCTAAGCTCACCATCACCGCCGCTGTTGTGTCCTGAGTGCTGCTGTCAGCAGATGGTGCAGGACGACTGCTAACCATCATCATCCTCCGCTTCCGATGCAACTCTGCCATCCTGCTCTTGTAAATAAGCTCAGTCTCAATAGCAAATTTCTCCATGTTGTCATTATCCACCGCTTCCGCTGCAACTCTGTTCTCCTGGTGCCATAAATCCACCTCGCAGGTCCTCTCGTCATTCTGTATAAATATCTATTCTCGTGGCATCCATCGTCATCCACCGCTTCCTCTGCAATTCTGCTCTCCTGCTGTCCTGCAGATGCCATATCACGGCAAGTGTGGAGCCTGCTCAGCTCACCGGTGCTGTTGTGAGCATTGTAAACACTTTGCACATTATCCTGGAGTATATGCAGAACCAGGCTAAGAGGAGGATTTTGATGAGGACATGGACACAGACGTTCCTGAAAGCACCGGCTGTGGCAATTGGGACATCATGGTAGCAGTGGGGCTGGTTGATACAGTGAAACGCCAATTCTGGGCCCAGCAAACAAGCACAGACTGGTGGGACCGCATAGTGTTGCAGGTATGGGATGATTCACAGTGGCTGCAAAACTTTCACATGCATAAGGCCACTTTCCTGGAACTCAGTCAGTTGCTTTCCCCCACCCTGAAGCACAGGAATACCAAGATGAGAGCGTCCCTGACAGTTGAGAAGCGAGTGGCGATAGCCCTGTGGAAGCTTGCTACGCCTGACTGCTACCGGTCAGTCGGGAATCAATTTGGAGTGGGCAAGTCTACTGTGGGGACTGCTGTGATCCAAGTAGCCAATGCAATCATTGATGTTCTGTTATCAAGGGTAGTGACCCTGGGAAATGTGCAGGTCATAGTGGATGGCTTTGCTGCAATGGGTTTCCCTAACTGTGGTGGGGTGATAGACGGAATGCATATCCCTATCTTGGCACCGGACCACCTTGCCAACCAGTACGTAAACCACAAGGGGTACTTCTCAATGATGCTGCAAGCACTGGTGGATCACAAGGAACGTTTCACCGACATCAATGTGGGATGGCCAGGAAATGTGCATGACGCTCGCATCTTTAGGAACTCTGGGCTGTTCGAGCAGCTGCAAGAAGGGACTTACTTCCCAGACCAGAAAATTACCATTGGGGATGTTGAAATGCCAATCGTTATCCTTGGGGACCCAGCCTACCCCTTGCTTCCATGGCTCATGAAGCTGTACACAGGCAGCCTGGACAGTAGTAAGGAGCAGTTCAACTATGAACTGAGGAAGTGCAGAATGGTGATAGAATGTACCTTTGGACGTTTAAAAGCTTGCTGGCGCTGTTTGCTGACTAGGTCAGACCTCAGCGCAACCAACATTCCCATTGTTATTGCTGCTTGCTGTGTGCTCCATAATATCTGTGAGAGTAAGGGGGAGACGTTTATGGCAGGGTGGGAGGTTGAGGCAAATCGCCTGGTGTCCGATTTTGAGCAGCCAGACACCAGGGCAATTAGAAGAGCACATTAAGGCGTGCTGCGCATCAGAGAGGCTTTGAAAACCAGTTTCATGACAGGCCAGGCTTCAGTGTGACAGTTGTGTGTATTTCTCCTTGATGCAAACCCGCCCCCTTTGTTGATTTTAATTCTCTGTAAGCCAACCACCCCCCACTTTGAAATAAAGTAACTGTTGTTTTGAAACCATGCATTCTTTCTTTATTAATTAAAAAAAAGAGAGAGATAACTAACAAGGTAGCCCTGGTGGGGGAGGAGGGAAGGACAAGGCCACATTGCTTATTGTAGCCACACTACAAATCAAACTGTTTGAATGAAAGCACAACAGCTTGGGCCATCCTTTGGAATGGAGCGGCTGGGTGCCCAGAGCCTCCCCCACCCCGCGTTCTTGGGCGTCTGGGTGAGGAGGATATGGAACTTGGGCAGGAGATCAGGCGGTTGTACAATGGATGCAGCGGAGGTCTGTGCTCTTGTTGGCTTTCCTGCAGCTGCGCCAGACACTTCATCATGTCTGTTTGCTCCCCCATTAGCCTTAGCATCACCTCCTGCCTCCGCTTCTCCCGCTCCTGCCTCTGCTCTTTGCACTCACTTAATGCTTTCCTAGCCTCTAACACTGAATGCCTTCATGCATTCAGCTGTGCCCTATCAGTGCATGAGGACTGCATGAGCTCGGAAAACATGTCATCGTGAGTGCGTTTTTTTCTGCCTTCTAATCTGCAATAACCTCAGGGACAGAGATGATAGGGGGAGCCTAGAAACATTTGCACCTGAGGGGAGATAAGAAGGGAGAGTAAAATTTAAGATGATACATTTCTGAGAACAAAAGGGAGACTCTTTCACAGTGAATCAAGGAATTCACAGCAGACAGCACATGTGCTTTAGGTACAAGGTCACATTTTGCCTTTTATATTGAGCGCCTGCCGGTATGGTGACACATCACACACGGCTGGGCAACAGAATTCGGTTTCCATGCAGCCATGGTAAGGCAAAGGGTATGCGGGGTTGGCTTCTTACGCATAACATGTGGGAATGGTTTCAAACTGCAGCACCATCCTTTCCCATAGCAAACAATGGGTTGGGTTTCACAATTAGAAGGAGGGGCTGTAGTTTTCAGGTGGATGTGCAGCACACACCTCCCCCCATCCCATCACATGGCTATTCTCCGGGATGATCCCTTTTAGCCAAGCGCAAACAACCCAGCATGAATGGGGTCCTTTTACTGTTCCCTTACAAAAATTCCCCTATTTCAACCAGGTGACCATGAATGATAGCACTCTCCTGAGACTAACACAGAAAGGTATAGGCCGAATGTTACTTGAATGAGACCAGAACCCAGGACCATTCGCTGCCATGCTTTGTGCTGCAATGATTCCAGAATACTTTCAGAGTACCTCCAGGAGAGCTTCATGGAGATGTCCCAGGAGGATTCCTGCTCCATCCCCAGACACGTTAACAGGCTCTTCCAGTAGCTATACTGGCCGCAACTGCATCCCAATTCTTCAGGGCAAATGAAACATTAAACGCTATTGCTTTTAAACCCTGTACTGTAGTTACAAATGTGCACTCACCAGAGCTGACTTCTCCGGCTTCAGGGTCGGGGATCCTGCCTTCAGAGGGTATTGGCTCCAGGGTGATGAAAAAGTCCTGGCTGCCGGTAAGAACGGATTCACCGCTTCCCTGCTGTGCATTCTCTTCCTCCTCCTCCTCTTCCTCATCCACAAAATCCTCCTCCCTGTTGCATGAGACTCCCCCCTTGCAGGTGTCCACAGACAGTGGTGGGGTAGTGGTAGGGTCCTCTCCTAGAATGGCATGCAGCTGATCATAGAAGCAGCATGTATGGGGCTCTGCCCGGAGCGACCGTTTGCCTCCTTTGTCTTTTGGTAGGCTTGCCTCAGCTCCTTAACTTTTACGCGACATTGCTGTGTGTCCCTGTTGTAGCCTCTCTCCAAGATGCCCTGTGAGATTTTGGCAAATATATTTGCATTTCTTCTTTTTGATCGGAGTTCTGCCTGCACAGATGCTTCTCCCCATACAGCAATCAGATCCAGTGTTTCCCTTTCGGTCCATGCTGGAGCTCGTTTGCAATTCTGGGGGGACTGCATGGTCACCTGTCCTGCTGAGTTCGCCACGCTGACCAAACAGGAAATGAAATCCAAAAGTTCCTGGGGTTTTCCTGTGTACCTGGCTAGTGCATCAGAGTTCAAAGTGCTGTCCAGGTCACAATGGAGCACTCTGGGATAGCTCCCGGAAGCCAGTACCACCGATTTGCGTCAGCACTACCCCAAATTCGACCCAGCAAGGTTGATTTTAGCGCTACTCCCCTTGCTGTGGAGGAGTACAGAAGTCGATTTTAAGAGCCCTTTAAGTCGATGGATGGGGGTTGGTTGTGTGGACGCATTCATTTTAAAATTGACCTAACGCGGCTAAATTTGACCTAACCCCGTAGTATAGACCAGGCCTAAGAATACTCTCTGGTGATTCATCATAGCTTGAGCTGCAGATAGGACAAGGTTTCAGCACTGCCCCTTAAGCCAAGGCCCTAGGGCAATGTTCCAAAACTTTTGAAAGCCCCTTTAGTAAAATGAAACTAATAGCTCCCCACTTCAACCAGGCCAACATTTCTCAGACACTGTCTCTTCAATAACTCCATGAATTTTAATGGGTTAAAATCAAAAGCATTTTATTTTCATTTCTTTAAGTCATCAATCAAAACTGTTGAATTAAAACATAAAGAATACTTAGCCTATTACTGCTATCAAGTATATTTTAACTCAAAGGTCTGTGCTGTGGATGTACAGGTTCTAGTGATCTATACAGAGGGTCATTGTAGTTCCTCATGATGGATTTTCTATCTTTCCATTTTTATTTATTTTTTAAGGTTGCAAAGTCAAGCACGCAAAAGCTAGGAAATGACAGAATTACATTTGCCTGTGCAAACTTAATTTGGCCCCTTGTGCATTGGCATTCTGTTATAGTTTTTATTTGTGTCGTCAGATACTATTTTTTTTTTCAGGAGTCCTGCCTCATTTGGTGTACAGGATGGACAGAGGGATATAAGAAGAAAATGGATTGTGTTTAAAGCAACAGATTGGGACTCAGGAGAGCTGAATACTATTCTTGTCTCTGTAACAGACTTCCTTTAATATTAGGCAAGACTGTAGCTTAACTAGGGCTTGCGTTCTGGGGGGTTATTAATTTCATTTTTCAGTGTTTATTTGTAGCAATTTTTGAGTTTTATGTAGTGTGACAGGGTCGAACCAGATGGCTATAGGAGAGTAATCCTATTGGGATCCGGGAAGTGCTAAAGGATCCCCCCGCAGCCTAAGAGGGGGATCCACAGGACCTGGACACCAAATAAATACGGGGGACAACTAATGAAATAACAGGGACAGGAGTGTGCTCAAAGGGTCAAATGAAGGGAACCGAATGGGGACACCAAGCAGAGAACCCCGGACAGCGCCCACTGCTCCTCAAAGGCATCAAGGGAGTCAATAGATGCCGCCCAGAGGAACTCTGCCCGGATACTTGAATGGACGGAGGATCGGAAATAGGCCCCACAGTCACAGGAGACTCCATCGGCTAGCCTCTTCACTCTGGTTTTATAGATGGCCATTTTAGCTAGGGCCAGGAGGAGGTTGACCAGGAGATCCCGTGACTTGGTGGGGCCACAGATAGGGAGTGTATAAATAAGAAGGTGAGGGGAAAAGTGCAACCAAAAGCATAATAAAATATTTGTGAGGAGCCGGAATAGGGGCTGCAGCCTGGCACACTCCAAATATATGTGTGCCACAGTTTCCCTCATGCCACAAAAGGGGCAGGTGTCTGGGATAGGGGTGAACCACGCCAAGTACACGCCAATGCTCACGGTTCTGTGAAGGAGCCGCCAACTGATATCCCCGGCAGGCCTTGGGACCAAGGTGGAATATAGGCTGGCCCACTGGGCCTCCTCACCCTCCAAAGGTAGCAGAAGGTCCCACCATTTTGTATCGGGGCAGGACACAAGGGTGAGGGCGTGAAGGGTGTGGAGCACAAGCGTGAATAGATGTTTCCTTGGCGAGGTCTGGAAGCAGACCGGCTGCAGCTCATGCAGCCAGCTCACGGTGAAGGGGTGGAGGGTCAGTTGGGTCCACGGGGCAGGGGCCCGATGAAAAAGTCCGGCGGGCCTGGGGTGGAGGGTGGGTGGGGTGCGCCCTCATGCAGGACCTGGTCAAGGTAAATCTGAGCAACGGGCGGCAAAGCAGCCCTCACCTCCTGAAGTACGCGCTGGGGACTACGAGGTCTGGAGAGCCCCATGCGTTGAGCGAGTGTCAGGGGATCCAGCCAGTCTCCCCAATTGTAGTCCAGGAGGTCTCCGACTCTTGTGACTTCTGCCAGGACCAATCTCTGGCACACTGAGGGGGACTCTGCCACCTGCACGCGAAGCTGGGGGTTGTGTAGCAGGGGCTCCGCGAGGAGATCTGCCCTTTTGGTGGCCGCCCCGGACCTGGTCATTGAAAGCAGTTTCCAGGTCTGGAGGAGGTCCTGGTAGAAGACTGGCATCCTGGAGAGGTCTCGCGGAAGACCTCTCGGATGAAGATAAAGGAGCTGCCGGTCATATCGGAGCCCTTGGAAGCGGCGCAGGAAAGCGTGCGCCAGTATGCTCCATTCTGGATGACCTGCACCATAAAGGGGCCTCTGCAGGGCCTTGAGGCGGAAGACATGGACCTGAGTGTGGAGACACTTCAGGCTGTGCCATCCCTCCTCCAGGGGTAGATGGAGAACCCCTGCAGGGACCCAGTGCAGTCCTGACCAAAAGAACTTCAGAATCGATGTCCGGAGGTTGGCCAGGAAACCCGGGGCCGGGACCAGGGTGTTGAGCCAGTACCAGAGCATGGACAGGACTACTTGATTAAGCACCAGCGCTCTCCCTCGAAGGGAGAGCCACCAGAGTAGTCCTGTCCATTTCCGGAGCCACTCTATCACCCTGCCCTCTAAATCGTGCTAGTTCTCTGGCGGAGAGGGATGCGTGGCAGAAAGGTAAACACCAAGATAGAGCAGCGGACCCGCGCTCCACCAGATGGCCTGAAGCGCGGGTGGGAGGGAGCTCGCCTGCCAGCTGTCCCTGATCACCAGGCCAGAGCTCTTGACCCAGTTGACCCTGGGTCTTGACCCAGTTGGCGGAGGAGGCTGCTGAATA